ATTTTCCTCAGGACTGGTTCATTTTGTTTTATGAGAGCCTTTGGTCTTACCAATTGTCTATTCCCACGTAGACCCAATTCTGGTCGTCTCATTGACAATTTTTGTTCTACACTTTCAAGCTTTTAATCCTTTAAAATGGTCAATCAGGGATTTTGTAGGTGGTCCTTTATGTGCCATTGCGTTTTCCTACAATTAATAAATGTCTAATTAGTACGTGGCCGTTTTTGTTCCTCTCCTTTCTTGTACAAGCTTATTAATTTTTACCAACATCTTTATTCGAGTCGGTCTTAAGTTGGGCTCATTGTATGCATATATGTCAAAGTCGAGGTTAGCTAGAGCCGACATAAGCCTGAAGACTCGGTTCAGTCTCCTTTCCGACCAAAACACCCTCATCATTTCTTCAAGAAGGTCTTGCCTTTCCATCCTTCTCTGTCTATAAAAATATTTCAGGATTCTCTCTGCTACTTCTGGGGCTCTTAATTGTAAAATTTGTATCAGTGAACAAATTTTGTCAACCTGATTGTTTTCCGACAAGGGAACCTTCCACTCTTGGATTACTATAGGATTACTCCTATCACCCTTGGGTTTAACAACCTTGTCTTCTTCATCGATAAGTATGGGTTTTAGTTTGCTGCCTAAAAATTCAGCCTGGGTCATCTTTATTAATATTTATAGTTACGGGACTATATCTATTCTGTGTACGTTTACTGAACTAAACTGGATGTTTGGAGAAGGTTTTAGGAAGCTTCCTCAAAGAGTATCTGCAATACAAATAATTGAACATGATAACCTTACCTTAATAACATGTTTACCACCCTGATATTTCTTACAATATCTATTAGTCTTATAAGTATTACTAAAACAAAATGTCTACATTCCACCTGATTAATAAATCAAAATGTCAACAATTCACCTGTAGCACTTATCTGCCTAAATCTTCTATACATGTCATGAGTAATTTCTTTAAGATATCTTTTGACTGGTCATTTTCTCCTGCGTTCTTACGTTTTTGACGTCGTATAGCAGCTTTCTGTTTTTTTTTCTATTTACAACATTACACACCGAGAAATCTCTGTCTATACCTCGGTATTCTTTCAGTTTCATGTTGCTTATGTCTTGGCTATCGGACTCAGGTACAGTTTCTATACTCTTTTGTATATTATCAATGTCTAGTTCGTCGTAATTTTGTCTTCTAACAGGTATAATATCCTCTTCCTGACTATCAAACGTCTCATCATTTGGTTCTTTGTCTTGTAAACATTGTCCTAACTGAGATAGGGTAATATCATCTTCATCATCTGACTTTAAGACCTGATGCTTCTCCAGCTTTTGCTTCCTCAGTCTCCGTCGAAGTTCCATTAGTGAAATGTCGTCTTCTGATTCGGAGTCTTTGCGCTTCATTTGTTTTCTTCTGATTACCTTCTTCAGGACTGTCTCTTCTTCTGATTCATCAGAACTTGTTTCTGGAGGTACAACACAAGTTGATTTTCGTAGAGGTCGTCCTATATTGTCTCTAGGTAAGCTCCACTCATCAATATTTGCTGGGCGCAAATGTCTTGCATGAGCTTTTGTAACTTCGCTCGTGAGTTGATTCTTAACTCTAAAGCTAAGAGGTCCTGTTTGTTCTATAATCCTGTAGTACGGGGTCCATTTGTTGTCTAACTTTGATGTCCTTTTGTTATTTCTTATGTAGACGGGGTCTCCTACCTGTAAGTTTACATCCTTGCTGTTTCTATCCGCCAATATCTTTTGTTTCTTCTTGGCCTGTTTCAAATGTCTATGTACCATTACATTACTGCTCCAGTGCGATCTTCTGTATTTCTTCTCCAGTATACTTGCGTCTCGGCTTTAAGATAGTGTCTAAGGGGAGAACAACATCACGGTTGTACATCAAGAAGAATGGCGAGGCCTTGGTTACTTCACTGGTATGAAATCGCACGGCAGCTAGTGTTTGATTCAAGTAAAGATCCCATGTGTTAACACTTTCTTTGATTTTCTTGGCCATAATATCCACCATTGTCCTATGAAACCTCTCTACTTTACTATTGGCCCGAGGGCTATAGTAAGATGTGGTGATATGGTTTATATTCAGTGCTGCTAGTGTTTCGTTAACAGACTTAGCCAAATTCTCAGCTCCATTGTCAGTGACAAGCTCTAAGACTGCTCCATTGTCAGTGACAAGCTCTAAGACTGATCCATATCTTGGGCAAATTTCCTCCAGAAGTAAATGTACAATATTTGCAGCAGACTTATCTGGCACAGGAAACGCTTCTGGCCATCCTGAGTAAACATCAATGAAGGACACTATGTACTTGTTCCCGGACAACGTTTCTGGATAAGTTCCTGATAAATCCATTGCCATCTTAGCAAAAGGGTAAGCAGGTATTTCAGTGTCTTGAAGAGGGGTTTTGGGATTGCTATGGCTCCTAGTCTGACATGTTACACACTTCTCAACATGTTGAAATATTTTCTTATACATCATGGGGAAATAATATTTCTTTCTCATAGTATCATATGTCTTGTCCACAGACATGTGGCCTAGGTACTCATGGTGCTGGCTTAACACCATTCCTTCAAGCGTCTTAGGAACATAGAGTCTCAGATTTGGGTAATCTGATTCAGCGTTTGATAAATAATACATCAGGCCATCTATCACCAAGAAACGTTGCTCTTCTGTCCTTTTTTTTATGTTGTCGTCATTGTCTTGGACCTTTCTTATGTCTATCTCTTCTGGTAAATCCAGCATTGGTTTAACAATATCATCTGTCGGTTCTTTTTGACATCTTATGAAATCCTTTGGGTTAAACTTGTTTGAGTTAAGTACTGCAATCTCTAATGCTCGGTCATCTACATCCAATATGTCTTGGGCAGTTTCTTGGATGGTATCTTGAATTGTCTGGGGTCCTTCTAGACTATCGGTAGGAAGTCTTGACAACAAGTCTGCACAACAATTGTATCTACCTTCTATGTATTCTACCTTACAATTGTAAGATGCTACCGTCAAGGCCCACATTGAAAGTTTCTTGTTAAGTGTTTTCTTATCAGAGAAAATATAAGAAAGGGGTCTGTGATCCGTCCTGGTGACAAAAAAACTGCTGTGTAAGTAGTTGTCTAATTTCTGCAATGAATAAACTATTGCAAATGCTTCCTTCTCAATAACAGACCAGCGTCTTTGTGTAGGACTAAGCTTGTGTGATAGATAATAAAGAGACATTTCTTCACCGTCCTGGGTTTCTTGGGTAAGACAACTTCCTATTGCCGAATCTGAGGCGTCAGTGTAAAGAACATACGGTTTTGTTGGATCAAGGTATGCTAGTAAAGGTACAACAGTTAAGCTTTCCTTGAGAAAGTCAATTCCTTCTGACAGTCTTCTGTCCACTTAAATCTGGCATACTTCTTGGTTAATTCTATGAGAGGTTCAGCAATCTTGGAGAAATTTGGAATAAAACGTCGGTAATAGCTACACATGCCTATGAAACCTCTGACTTACTTATACAAGTTGGAGATGTTATGGTCCTAATAGCGTCCACTTTCTTAGAATCTGGTTTTACTCCTTGATTTGTGATTGTGAAACCAAGATATTCTGTCTCAGCTTGGAAGAAACTGCATTTCTTAAGCTTGAGCTTAAGTCCATGTTCACGTAATTTGCTGAATACTATTTGAATATGTTCCAAGTGTTATTCTGGGGTCTTGCTATATACTAGAACGTCGTCAAGATATGTGGTGGCAAAGTGTTCACAGTCTTGTAATACTATGTTCACAAGTTCTTGAAATACCGCTGGGGCATTACTGAGGCCAAAGGTCATTCGGTTAAACAAACAACCCACGATGACAAGCAAAGGCGGTTTTTTCTTTACTTTCCTCATCTAATTCCACCTGCCAATATCCACTTTTTAGATCTAAGGTAGTAAAATGTCTAGCATTACAAAGAAGGGTAAGGATGTCGTCAATCAAGGGTAAGGGTACTGCCATTGGGGAAACTATCTTATTCAAACTACGGAAGTCTACGCACATCCGTTTGCTGCCATCTTTCTTATCTACTACTACTAAACCAAATGACCATGGACTTCTTGACCTTTCGATAACCTTCGCTTCTAACATTTCATCTAATGCTTCATTTATTATTTGTTTTTTCTTCAGTGGGGTCCTATATGGTCTATTTCTTATAGGTTTGTGGTTGCCTGTGTCTATATGCATTTTTACAGTGTCTGTCCTAGTTGTGAATCTTTCTTGGCAAATAAGTCCTTATTTCTTTTGAGTAATCTTAGTGTTTCCGCTTTATACCTATCTGGTACGTCCACTACTTCAAAGTTTTCGGTTTCTTGGCTTCGATCTAACGAAGTCACACATTCTATATGTTTGGGGTCTAATGGTCTAGCCTTACCTCCGACTGCACCATTTCTTAACCTCATGGTACAGTTCGTGCTATTTACAATTAAAACGGGTATCTTACTTGGATTTCTTACTTCACTTATACTGTCTTGCAAGACTACTCCAGGTTCTTCATATATACATGCCATATCTTCTCCTGAGATCTTTGGTGATATGTCTATTAGTCTTGACTTTGGTATCTCAAAACTTCTTGCAAGCTTGGTGTTACATGTGGTAGCACTCTGGGGCTTAAGTACAACTTTCTGGGAAGTTCTTAATATTGAAGAAACATGTACGCATACATGCCAAGTCAAAGTACATTCTGACACCATTTTGTTTTAGCCAATCTAACCCTAAAATACAGCTTCTGTTCATGCCGTCAACAATATAGAATTTATGACCTAAGGTCAAATTTCTGATTTTAAATGTCATTTCCACGGAACTTATCACATGAAGGGGTGTAGCACCAGCTGTTTGTATCTGCATGCTTTCTTTTCTTAACCTGGGTCGTTTTGCTAATGTCCTAAATATCCTGTTGCTAATAAGGGAAACCTCTGCTCCCGAGTCTAAGAGAGCCCAAATCTTTTGATTACCCATTTTTATCACTGTCGTGCTGGGGTTGCCGCAAAATGGCCGCCACCAACACGGTTATATGCTGTGTTATTGCCAACGACATTCTTGAAGACGATGATGATGATGATGATTATGTGGATATGTTATTGATGCAAGCTTTGTAAGTAACAAAACGTTACTATTACTACATTGATACGTGTTGAGCGTTTTAGAATGTCTATCCTGGCTTAGGCCTATATGTTATGCCATGTCGAAGCGAGAGATATATATACTACAGAGTAGGTCTACTACTATGGTTACTATCTGGCATTATGCGATGTGCTATAACAAACAGCGTCTGCCTCAAGTTTTTAGCTATTAATGACGTATATGAATAGTATTGAGTCATTGAGATAACGTTGTTTTGTTTTGTTTCTACAGGATGAGAGATGACAGAGCCAAATGCAAGAACTATTTTGAATATACGATTCCAAAATATCTACCAGACACATTCAAACGGTTTTTTAAAGTTAACAGACAAACTGTACAGAGTTTATGTGAGTTGTTGTCAGTTTGTCCAGAACTACTACAAAGAATTGTCTCAGGCGGAAGAGAAGAGATCGCACTAGAAAAGAAAGTGCTTATGACACTTCGCTATTTGGCTTCACCTGAGACCCTTCATGCATTAAGTGACAAGTTTGGTGTGACAGAGTATGCTTTTCTCAAGTCAAAAAGACAAGTAGTTTCAGCCATCAATAATCACTTATTAAAGAGGTTTATCAGGTGGGCATCTCGTCATGAATTGCCTAACATAGCAACAGAGTTTAATGATGCTGGACTTAAAGATTTCCCCGGAATTGTTGGAGCCATAGATGGATCACATATAGCCATAGAGTCTCCACAAGAAAATCCACAATCCTATTTCAATAGGAAAAGATTTGCCTCCTTTATATTGCAAGCAGTTTGTTTATATGACCTGACTTTCACAGATATATGTGTGGGGTGGCCAGGACGAGTCCATGATGCTAAAGTTTTCGGCAAGTCAGCTTTGTACAATTTCGGATTCCAGAAGTGTGAGAATGGCATTTACCACATCATAGGTGATGCCGCCTATCCCCTCAAGGAATGGGTTCTTACCCCTTACAGAGATAGAGGGCACCTGTCTCCTCAAGAGATTCGTTACAACACTTGTCTGTCCTCAAAAAGACAAGCTATTGAGAGAGCATTTGCCTTATTAAAAGGAAGATTCAGGAGACTGAAGTATATTAACATTAAATCTGTGCAAGAAATATGTGAGACCATCTCCGCCGCATGTGTACTTCACAACATATGCATCATTGAAAAGGATGGTGTGGATATTGATGATGTTGACCAAGATGACAAGTATGAACAGCCACTTGTTCCATTTCCAGCATTACAGAATGATGCACGAGGCAACCTCAAAAGGATCAGAATTACAAATCAGTTACGTTAAACTAGTCAGTGTAATGAAAATAAAACATGACAAACTATTTACTTTTAACTTTATTATTCAACAACCGAAAAAAAAATCAACAGTATTTCTCATTTTTGTACGCATTTTGGACAAGAAAACTCTTAATCTAAAGCAATACATTAATACACAAATGCAATGAAGTAGTAAGAGCACTGCAGGACGGAAAACATGTTTATTACACATAAATAAAAAAAAATAAAAGTAGACAACTTTTTTGCATTCTTATTCAAAAAGGTTTCATGGACATGTAAAATAACAAGAAACAAATAAAACAAAAAAACAGAAAGGTTTCATGGACATGTAAAATAACAAGAAACAAATAATAAAAAAAACCCAAACCCAATTTTCATCCTTGGTATGGATAGGTTACAAAGGATACAACGATATAATTTCAAAATAAACAATTAATTTAAAAAGTTAAACATCCGACCACAGACACATTTCAAATAGACACCAAAATGAGTATTAAAGTAGATTTGAACAGTTTGCCTTAACTACATACATCAACTTAATCATGAACTTAAAAATGCATAATGCTTACATACTATATGTCCCAAAAACAATTTATATTTTCACAAGGTATTTCACCCAATTTTTCAAAACGGAAAAGAATAACGAGTTCATGAAAAACTTTGAATTAAAGTACAATGATAATGCAGTCTATTTGCAGCAAAGAAAAGTCATTTTTTAATGGCTTTAATTAGTTCACTAAAAGCACTCATTTTCTCTTGGTGGCGTCTCTCAGCGGCAGCTTCTCTATCTTCAAGCATGGTTCTCATGATATCAATTGACCTGTTACCGATACCAGTGGTTTTCCTCTTCTTGGCCCCTTTACCTGCAAAACCCAATATTCAAATAAACATCAGAAACAATAACTGAATGCCAGATTACAAATGTTCAGGAAGGTCATTTCACATGGATGACAAATCACCCCCCTTAATAAAGGGGTTGTGGATAGCCTAAGCAAACAATATGCGAGAGATCCACAACTGGCATGACAGATGTGTTAAGTGCTATATCCCCAACCATAAAACCATGGTGCAATTCACCTCAGTATTTATAGAGACAAATCATTACTGAAATTTCAAAACTGATGCCTTACTAGCGTATTAGAAGTGAATAGAAATTATGTACCAGCATAAAGTGGTTATTAACATCCGTTCCTGCAGCCTGGATGGAACCTGAACCCTGTAAGCTCCTTATGTTTCACCACATAATATCTTGGTCAATCCGGAAACAGATGCCAATAAGACCTTTTCATGAATATATTGCTTTTTCCTACAAAAAATGCTAACTGACGTTTCTGTATGAGATTTATTATGCCATCAGCTTTACAGGCCTTTATGTCGACACATCTGTGTACTCCCCCAAGCCATTTGGATTCTACAATAAATTGAAAATCTTGTTTTGTTTACACCCTTATGCTTTGATAGAGAACATGGCAATGCTGACACAGAGAAAACATTTAAAATGTTGACCAAATCAACTCATCAGCATTCATTGTATCTATTGCATGTGAATAAGTAAATTAATGTTAAAACATTTTCCCCCAATTTTTAAAAACACAGCTACCAACATAAAATGATCAAAATCAAACCTACTAGAACTAGATTGGGGAACTGCTGTTCCACATGTCACAGATGACGGAAGAGGACTTGGACCTGTCAAGAAAAGACAATTTTGTGAGAAGCATTGGACATAAATTTAAAGACACGGCAAAATTTAATTATAACACACACTGAAGAGGAGAGAATACAACAAAATACCATGGTATTTAAAAATACAAAATCTTAGTCAATTAAAACAAGGACAAAATGAGAACAAAAGCAAGATTGACATGGAGACTCCTAAAAAAAGGTACCTGGAGACAAGACTAGAGGCTCATCATTGCAAATTTGAATATTTGCAAAAAAGGCTAAATTAGTTTTGATTGTGAATTCAGAAAAAAAGCTGACGCAAAATATTCAAATGATTGACAGTTTCAAGAAAAATTGGTTAAAGCCTAATACACCTATCAACATCTTTTAATCCTTAGAAAATATCAAATTATGTGTACTGAGGTTTTTCCTTACATGGTGAATGTTCTGTGGAATCTGAACTAGATGCTGAAAGTGAGGCTGATGATGATTCCATAACATATTTTGGATTTATGTCTGGCATGCTCTCGAACATTTCATCTAATTATTCCTCCATATCATCATCATTGGGCTCTTCACCGCTTTGATTTCTCTTTAGTTTCAATCTTGTTTGACGCTCTTTGAGGTTTTTTATTTTAAGGCGACACTTCTCACTGTTGAATTTACATTTTCCGTCTGATTTTTCTTCCAGTTTTGTGGCAATATGGTGCCACTTTTTCTTAATGGGAACTTTCCCTGACTCCACATCTTTCCATATATCTAGCAGCATCAGTTCTGCTTCCTGGGTCCAAGTTGAAGATTCAGGGCAATCATGCTCAGCTGTAGGGGGGTTTGGAAATGGGTCTGGCATTTGCTGGCCTTGTGATTCCTTATCTTGCCTTTGCACTAGAAATCATAACAATTTATGTAAAATCATTATTCACTATGAAAGACTTAAGCATAATATCTCGTCAATAACAGTAATATATTATTTTCTGCACTGTGAATAAATATTATTTGAAAACAGTTGAATATCAGATTTACTAGTAAGAGATACATGTAGTTCTGAACTTCTGATATGTTACACATATATATTCCTATTATTGGTATTATCAATTATTGTGATGTTTTGGTCCAACAAATACTTATATGCTGCTATTGCCAACCTCTCAACTAGTTTCACTGTATCTGAATCTTCAATATTAAAACGGGAGGGAGGGGAGGGGGGGAGGGGGGGAGGGAGGGGAGGGGGGGGGGGGGGTGACAGGACAAAATTTCGGTAACAGTATGGCTAAAATACGAATCCTTGAAATCTGACAACTATAATTGTGCTATCTAGTATTGCATCTTGCAGACTGTATCATTGAAAGTGTCCAATATTGCTCGTTATGTTCTGAATAATGAATTATGACAACGTCTCAAACAAAACTGTACCTTTCGTCCGCCATCTTGTCGCCGGGTATGCCGATCTTTTTTATCCGGCTGACCGACGAGAAACGGCACGATGCGTACGCAGTCTGATTCCCAATCAAGTGACTGTGCCGAATGAGTCGGGTCGCCGCCAGTGAAATACGGGGGAAAACGGCTTGCAAACAAGTGCCACCTATGTGTCTGGTGTCTGTATCCCAGTCTTTGTCAAAGGTTGTGTTGTGTTTTTGCCTGGTCTTTCTCAGCAGAGCCATGGCCTGCTGCGAGTCCATTATTTCTGCGAATCTCTGTCTTAACAGTTTCTTGAGATCTTCCCAAGAGAGATCTCCTACATTCTCTACTGAGCCGATATATCGATTAATGAAATTACAAACTGAGCCTGTGCTCGTTTGGTAGGCAATATTGGGGATAGTGTCATTTTCTAACCCTACTAACTTTGCATATTTTTCTATTTCTTTTATCCATGTTTTAAACTTGCTGGGGTCGCCCTCAAACGTCTTCACTATTTGAAATACTCCTTGGGCTGTCATTGCAGCCGACAAATTTTTAAATTGAGAAGCCATGTCCCTGAACAAGGCTTCACCACTGTCCTGAGTCTCTCCCTGCCCTAACGAAGCCTGAGATTGGGAAGGTACCGTTAAATTAGCCATATTTGATTTATCGCGTCGTCCGATACCAACGAAACCATAATTTAACTAAAACAACAATTTATAAGTTTATAAATCTTACACCCAAAATCTAACCTTTAAATGGTCAGTTACTAGAGGTACAATAAATGGAGAAGAGAAATTCGCTAACCTCAGTAGTTTTCTTCCCTTTTACCTCCTTCTTATCCAAGTCCTTTCTTCTTTTGACCACTGACCTTGAGGGTCAGCAAGCAATCCTGGTCACGGCACCAAATCAACAATTGTAACTCTCTTGAACCGTTCGAGAGACACAATTGAAGGACTACCGAAGGTGAAGAAAAGCGCCTTTTATTTCCGGTAAGCTTACAAAACTCTTGCTCCCGTACCTGCCCTGGTCCCAGGCCTCGTGACACCAGTCCATCCAATACGCTGTCTAGTGACCGGAGAGAGGGACGATCTTGTCCCCTCCTATTTATGTCTAATGCCTACGTGACTGTCAAATTTGATGGGTGACCCGGGTTGACCAAGGCTGTCAAACTATTACTAATTTTGAATTGAATCCCAGACATTCTGTAGCCAAAACAGAAGAAAACAAATACAAAGCCTTCAATTCGGCCACACACGCCAAGGTCCGGTCTCCCAGTGTAAACAAAAGACTTTCAAAAATTACGTCACATAAACCTTTGTCAGCGTTTTAGGTATTAACTATTGCGCAGTTTGTGCACCTGCCTCAGCAGCAGCAGTACAGCGTAGTAAAGTGACCTTAATATATGTCCTCCACAGATCAATGACTGTGTCAGAACATATAACTAAAACAGATAATTCTGCTTAATAATTAAATATTATAAACATCAACTCAGTAATATAACCAAAACAGATAATACTGCCTAATATCTAAAGCAAGGGCAGATAACCTTGCATAGGGTTACAGGGTACAGGAATCCTTCTGGAACTGTAGTGAAAGTTCACTTAGCACAGACAGAACATCCCTCAAGAAATGCATGTAGTATAGAAGTGCATAATCTCTTAAGTGTCTTAACACCAGCTTAGCCCGCCCTTGTTGGTCAGGGGACCCTCTCCCACTCTCCACGATATCCTCAAAATGGGTTACAATTACCCTATAAGAGTTTAAAAGAACTTCAAGAGATTTGCTTAAGTGCGGCATCCATCTTGTTCCATCTAAGTTCACAGGGCGGAGTAGCTTTTCCTCCATGGCTTTTAGCAACCTCTTGTAGTTCTCTCAAAGCTTTGGCAGAATAGTGATAATGTTTATGAAGATGAAGTAGGACAGATTTCAGATCTGAGAACA